GGCTTCAAGCATCAGGTCGCCGGCGAGGTCGGCGGCCGCGGGTAACTGCGAATCCTCCCGTAAAGCGCAAGTCAGCGCACGCGTGGTCTCAGGATCTGGCGTCCGTCCAGAGACGCGGTACGTGAACACCGACCCCCGCGCCGCAGCCCGCGCGGTGCAGCGCCTCTGTTAGGGAATCCATGTACACGGGAAAAGTGAGCGGCCCCACCGCCCCCCCTTCCGCAATCCCCTGGAGTATAACCATTGTGGCCACCCCATTGTAGTTCACATGGATGGTGTCCGAAGCGAGCACACTTCCCAAGAGCGACAGCATACCGTCACGCACGCCGGCCGTTTCGTGCAGTCTCAGAAGAAGCGCCTCCCTCCAGGTCCGCGGGAAGGCCTTCTGGAGGTCTCCGAAAACTGCCCAAAACGGCCGCCCAGAGTGCGCAGCCTCTGAGGAGGACGAGGAGTAGGAGGAGGAGGAGGAGGAGGAGGAGGAGGAGGAGGAGGAGGAGGAGGAGGAGGAGGAGGAGGAGGAGGCGGAGGAGGAGGAGGAGGAGGAGGAGGAGGCAGGCAGCGATGAAAGAAGTGTCAGGGTCACTGACACCCCCCAGCACCCTCAGACGAGGAAGGAGTGGCGATCGCAGCAGGCGAACACCGTGTGGGGGGAGGTGGGGAGGGACGGCGGTCCTGCAACGCAATGCGGCGAGACCCCCTACCGTCCCCCACTGCCACCACCTCCAGCCCCCGCCAGCGGCAGCGCCACCAGGAAGTCCAGGCGAACGTCCATGGGCTCGGCGGCGGGGTCGTCCGTATCGAAGCGGACGGAGGCAGAGCGCTCCCCGACGGCGATGACGGTCACCTCGAAACCCGCCAAGGGGCCTCGGCAGAGTCGCGCCCGCACGTCGGGGGCGTGGGCGGGCGGGCGTCCAGGGCCGCGGCGGCCAGGCAGCACCGTGAGGCCATCCGCCCACTCATCGTTCAGCTCATCCTCGAACGCGTCCTGACCAGCAGCAGGCCCAGCAGCGACATCAGCGAGAGGGAGGCCCACAGGGGCAGGCTGCTGACGGCGCCGCCGCCGCTGCCTGCGACCGCCCCCCGTGGCGTCCTCCATCACGTGGTCCCCAACCGCCTCGCCGCCGCCAGCACGATCTTCATCAGCCGCATCACCGTGGCCCGCAGCACCACCGCCACGGCCTCCGCGCCCTCGCCGCCGCCGCCGCCGCGCGGGGGCAGCTGCAGCGCCAGGCACGGGCGCAGGCGGCTCGGCGGCAGGGCTCCGCAAGCCCGCCACCGCCGCGCGCAGAAGGCCCTCCGCGGCGCGCAACAGGCGCACCCCATCGCGGGAGTGCCCTGCTGCCAGCCCCGCGGCCGCATGCGCCGCGAGGAGGGCCCCGCGGGCCGCCTCCTCGGCGCGGCGCAGGCCGGCGGCCTTCAGCGAGAGCGAACCCGGCATCGGCCACGCGGCGAGCGCGCCGAAGGCGCGGCCCAGCGGCACGGGGCGGGAGCCAGAACGGTTCTGAGGAGGAGGAGGAGGAGGAGGAGGAGGAGGAGGACGAGGAGTGATGGAGGAGGAGTTGAAGGGGGAGGAGGAGGAGGAGGAGGAGGAGGAGGAGGAGGAGGAGGAGGAGGAGGAGGAGGAGGAGGAGGAGGAGTTGGAGTCCGTAACCATTTTGGCTCAAGTCCGGAGCCGTTTTGGCACAGGACCTGACCACACTGGCAAAGGGGAGCAGCGGCCCCCACAGTGCCCCTCGTTTGCCTGGTCAGACGAGGTTTTCTGCGTTTTTCTATCTCTCGGGCAGGGGCCACCTCAGAGCCCAGTTCATTGTCGTGCGCTCCTAAGGGGCATCTGATGACCCAGAGGGGCGGACGAGATGCAGAGGATGTGGCGTGGCCTCCTGTTCGTTGGAGTCGCCGTGCACGGCGCTGGGGAGGCTCATATCCCTGGCGAGAACCTCTGCAGACAGCTACTACCACACGGGACGATGATGACTGGTACACATCCAGCGGGAACAAGAAGCTCAGTATGGTCACATGCCTGGCCTGCGGCTGCAGCAAGAACACCTGGGGCTCCCTCTGCTGCAAGCACTGCGGCTCCAGCCTCACCAAGAAGCAGCCCGCACCAGCAGGACGTGACCTTGGAGGAGAAAGTACCAAAGGGGGTGGCCAGTCCGAACACGGATACAAAAGAAAGAAAGGTAAAGGCAAAGGACGTGACGATAGGCCTGTCGGTGGTGCTGCACTACCCCCAGGCCCACTTCCCAACATGGACGCTGACAAAGCACGCAACTTGGCAAAATTGGCACAAGAAGCTGGAGATGTGGAAGGAACTAAACGGTACCAGGCATTGGCCACACGTGGGCCGCCAGCTCCGACGACACCCACCGCCAGACAAAGGTGGCAAAAAGCAAAGGCCCTCCAAGCGCAGCTCGAGAAGAAACTCACCAGTGAGTACGAGAAGCTGGAGCGATTGAGGAAGGCCACCACGGACTTGGAGGACCACATCGCCACCATGGCCATGCAGCTCCAAGAGGCAGATGAGGGGGTCACCAAAGCGCTGGCGGAGATCCAGACAACGTCTGGAAGACAGCCAGAAACACCTCTGCGCCCAGCCCAAGTCAGCATCCGTGATGTGGTTGAAGGGAGAGTGGACCTCAAAGACGTCTTTACCATGGATGATTTCCTGGGAATCTCAGATGTGGTGGCCTCGCACGAGCTGGACGGACAGGACATCAAGGAACTGGAGCGCCGCAAAGCTGAGGCTTCGGACAGCATCCAGACGCACCTGGCCAACATATTTAAGGGAGCTCTGGAGCAGGCATCCAAAGCGAAATAGGAACACAAAGAGCACGTCAAACGTCTGGAAGGGAAGAAGCGCAAGGTGGACGGAGGAGCGTCAGCTGCAGGCGGTCATGGCGGAACACGACCACCTACCCAACCTGAGCGAGCAGAAGAGCCGACGCCAGCCACAGCGAAGGCGAATCCTCTTGCTATCCCCGTCAAAAACATCCGTGAGAAGATTGCTGGGGACAGAGCCTGGCGACATGCAGCTGAATCAGCGGCCTCCCGACAGGGCCTTTAGCAGTCCAGATAGGGCACAGGGCTGGGCGCGCAGGGATTCAGCCCCTGGTCGTCACAGCGCCCAGCCCACAAGCACGCCCTCGGGAGCTACTCCATGTGCACCAGTTTCCTCGACGTGTCCGAGGGTGAGGCCGAGACACCCTACGAAGGCGATGCAAGTCCAGGCACAGAGTGACCCCGACTTTGTCGGCGCGCGTCCTCGCCTGGACTTTCCGCTGGAGGGGGCTCGGCCGCCAAGATCGACTTCGCCGATTGCCGCGCGTGGATCGAC